TGCAGTACATGTAAAAGGCTAGTGTATACTAAGAGTTTACGGAATCATGTGAAGAGTTTCATGTCATAGCATGCTGCTGAAACAACATTTAACATGTTGTGGCGATGCTACCTGCCTTATACTGAAAAATGAAGCCTATGTCTTACTTTTGTGCCACATGTATAGAGATAAGACGACTGATTATAAGAAGTGCTAACATGCAATCAGATGAAAGGATAACTGAGTAAAGTTAGTACTGTAATAACACAAGAATTATATTTAGCAATTCAGGCAATAAAAAAGGCACTAGATCACAGAAGTCTTGTTAAAAAGGAAAGGGAGTACTATCAGAATGTATGAAAAGAAGCACAATTATTGTTAAAAGGGCTGTATACTGATGCGGCAAACTCCCCCACTAACAAGGCCACTTGCTATGTTTTATATTGTAGCACATTATAGCTTCAATTATGCTCAACAGGTAACAATTTATGATATTAAAGTGTATTTAGCTCACTTACTTTTTTAAAGGTTCACTATCATTCAAGTCCAATACAAGCAGGTCCAATATGTTTTCTTACTCACAGGAAATGTGGCATATTTGGTGTGCTGTGAAGCTATCTCTCAGCAGGTTAATTTCTTAATCGATGAATCATTCGACACTGGTAGAGGGGCAAATCCTGTCATAAGCAAGGCACTTTTTTATTTGAAGAATCATTGCCTCAACTCAGTAAATATCCATTTTTATGCTGACAAATGCACAGGGCAAAATAAAAATAATATAGCTATTCAAGTAAGTCTAATAAATGCACAATAATGAACATTTTAAATGTTATTCTTCCTTTAATTTAGTACCCCTTATGGAGAGTTATGATAGGACTCAATACATCCATTTCAATATCCTTTCTGCCAGTTGGACACAAAATTTTCTCCAGACTGGTGCTTTGGACTATTAAAGCAAAAATTCCGTAAAGCAGAGGTGGACTCATTGGATGACTTCATTCATGTTGTAGAACAAACATCTGCTGTTAACAAAGCCGAAACGGCAGGAAGTAGCAATGGTGAACTCATAGAAACATTTGACTGGTCAAGTTACTTTGCTACATTATTCAAGAAAATAAAAGGCATCAAAGGTTTTCAACACTTTGTTGTAAATACGACCCAACCAGGTAAGTTGTAGATGGCCCAGTCACACAATTCAATTTGCTGAAAGAGGACACTCAAATAATAGAAGATGATGTACCTAATGTATTACCACCAAAGGGTATGTTGTAGATGGCCCAGTCACACAATTCAATTTGCTGAAAGAGGACACTCAAATAATGGAAGATGATGTACCTAATGTATTACCACCAAAGGGTATTGTTGGGAACTATTATTATTTAGTATACTTTTTTGTGAGACACTGCGCATGCGCAGTGTGTCATTGTTATATAATACAGTACGAATAACACGAGTTCTTCTCTGAAGGAGCCATTATAGTAGTAGCGGCGGTACAGCCAGCAATGCGAGGGAGCGCGTCAGACCTATATACAGTCCTCCATTTAGATCAGTGTACCAAATGGTCCACCGAGCCGGATAAAGAAGATTGACTAGGTTCTCGGAGCTACAGGAGCGGTAGCCATTTTATTCGAAGGTCTAGACGGTACTCATTGTCGATTTGGATTACCTGTG